TTTTAATTCCCTTGCCTTTGGGGATGTGTCAAGTAAGAAATTGCTGCAGCTAAGGCCAGAGAGGTTTTTTCCTGCTTTCTCATCTAGGGTTTCGATGGTTTCCTGTCTCACATTCAGGTCCTTTATCCATTTTGAGTGTATTTTTGTGAATGGTGTAAGAAAGTGGTCTAGTTTCATCCTTCTGCATGTTGCTGTCCAGTTCTCCCAGCACCATTTGTTAAAGAGACTATCTTTTTTCCATTGGGTATTCTTTCCTGCTTTGTCAAGATTAGTTGGCCATATGTTTGTGGGTCCAATTCTGGGGTCTCTATTCCATTGGTCTATGTGTCTGTTTTTGTGCCATCATTGTGCTATTTTTTTTTCATTTTTATGAGAAGATGTCCCTTTTGTTACATTTTTTTTTTAATGTTTTTGAGAGCAAGAGACAGAGCGTGAGCAGAGAGAGAGAGGGAGACAAAGAATCTGAAGCAGGCTCTGAGCTGTCAGCACAGAGCCTGATGTGGTGCTTGAATCTGTAAACCACAAGATCATGACCTGAGCTAAAGTCGGACGTGTAACTGACTGAGCCACCCAGGCGCCCCCCCCCCCCACTTTCATTACATTTTTAAATGAGAACAGGTCCTTTTATGATGTAGTGATAAAACAGTGGTTATTCTTTTTGGTTTAATGACCTTATTGGGTAGAATGGAAAGCTGGCAACCATATGCTGGTCACCAACATTGGATTTAAGGAGTGTTGTGGGTCCCCCAAATTAAAAGCATTTAAGAGCCCCTGAGTTGGTTCATCTGGCAGTGTTTCTCCTTAGACCTCAATTTGGTAAAACGAGGCTCACCTATCACGCTTTGGAACAGTCTGTCGTCCCTGAAGGTCTTTGGTAAACAGCATTTGGCCTGACAGTGGGGCTTTCAAGGGAGACACACAGAACTCTGTGTGTCCATTTTTTTCCTGTCTGTACACTGCCCAGCCTTCCCTTTACCCCAAAGGAACCATATCTTGACAGTAGAAACAAAAAATCCACAAACTTCAGACAGAACCTGATAGTTGCTGCCTCATTTATGGTATGTACCTAGTTGGTCTAGACTAAGCATCACAGTGGAAAATGCCAAAAGGTGCCTTGAGAAATTTAACCAAACAGTCATGTATTTTGATTAATGGTGAATTGTATTAATCGCTCCTGCCATATATGAAACAAAGAGCCTGTGTGGCATTGTCTTCCAGAACATTTTTGCTCCTGGATCGTGGCAAGCTGAATATTAAAAGCTTGATTGTTATAAACACAAAAGAGGCTATTTGGCCTTGACTTGCTAGATTGTTTCCTCTGTTTTTCCTCCGGCCTGTGACATCAGAAGTTCAGGCTGGGGGGGGGGGGGGGGGGGGGGGGGGGGGGGGCACGTGCATCCTAGTGCCTAGGACTGAAGGGAGCAGAGCTGGTTCTGGAAGAACCCCAGGCTCATCGGGACTGGGTGGAAGCCAGGTGACCACATAGTTCTCATCCGATCGCTTCGTCACGCAGCTGAGCACATGGGGACTTGGGGGGTGGGGAGCGAGGAAGAGCACAGAGCCCGGGGCTTGTCAGCAGGTACCTGGGGCTGTACATCCCCTGAGCTCTGCATCTCGTGGTCTCTCCACAGTCAGCAGCCAGAGACGGCACTCCTCCATGGCCCGGATACATTCCATGACGATCGAGGCGCCCATCACCAAGGTGAAGCAGCGTGCGCTGTCTCCACGCGGCATGCACAGGAGTCCTTGTTCTCCAGGTTGACTGTTTCTAGAGAGAGGAAAGCGACCCGCACCGATAATAATGCTCCGCTGGTCGCATGGAGCTGCCTCCTCTAAAGAGAGGACATGCGACATGAACGTTGTAGTTGGTCTTGAGTTAGCGCCCAGCGCCACGCCAGCCTGCCTCTCCACATTGCTCTCCCACCGTCCGTGAGGTTATGAAACTCACGTCTTCTTTCCATGCTGTAGGTAATCAACATTATCAACGCCGCCCAGGAAAGCAGCCCCATGCCTGTGACAGAAGCCTTAGACCGTGTGCTGGAGATTCTGAGAACCACTGAATTGTATTCGCCACAGTTCGGTGCTAAGGACGATGATCCTCATGCCAATGACCTTGTTGGAGGCTTAATGTCTGTAAGTGTATTTGCCCCGGCAGCTGGCTAGAGCCTGCTGTTTTTGTCTGTTTTCCCAGAGATGACGTGTTTATGGGCTAGGCCACATGGAGCTCAGTGCGTGTAGGGGGCCGTCGTGGCCTGAGCCCCGCCATCACCCGGGCTCGACGGCACTCTGGCCAGAGCCGTCTCCCACCTACTGCCGGCCACCAAGGGAGACCACAGCTTGAAGCAGAGGAGGCAGGAGCATATTCTAGAGAGTCTGCTGGGCTGGGTTCTCCATTTTTGCTTAGGAGTTCTATGAGAAAAATAGGAAATAAAACATAAAAATTAATTGTTTCACATATTTTGAAAACTGGGGCAGGAAAAAAATATACGTATAAAGTGTTTCATACCAATTACAAAACAGAAAGACTCCATATGTTCAAAGAGGCACCGGGGCACGGGGCTCCGTTTCCTTCCCAAACATCCTACACAGATGTGACGGCTTTGCACCGTGGGCCCCGGCGGCCCTGGATACCTTCTCTAGCCCCTCTAGCAGAGAGGTCTCGCAAGGGAAGAAAAGCTCTCTGGAAAACATTCCATCTCTGTCTGTCACCTTTTGTCTCAGTCAGAAGTAAAATTCACCACCTCACCGCCACCAAACCTAGAAACAACAGCAATTCCCCTGCCAATGCCTGCTTTCTGAAGTTCTCTGGATTTCTTAAAAACAAGGTTTTAGGCAGTAATGTGAAGGCAGTAATCGAGAGTGGTTCCCAGTGACAGTAGTGTCTAACCCTGGCCTTGCCTGTCTGAGGCACAGGCTCTAGCACCCGTAGGCGGGAGGTGGAAACCACGGGGGTGGGATAGTGTCCCAGGGTGAGGGGGGAAGCGAGGGAAGCTGGGAGGGCTCTCAGCGCAAGAGGCAGCCGGGTGGAGTGAGGGTGCGTAGAGGGCCCGGAACAATCCAGTGTTCTGAAGGAATCCTGGTGTCCATTGGCAGTGAGGAGGGTGGCAAGAAAATGGTGGGGAAGTCTTGAGGGCAGAGGCCAGCTGTCCCTGAGAAACCGAACCAGTGCTGAGGGCCCACGGGAATGCTGGGCTCTGGGGCCTGGTGCAAGATCACCTCCCTGCTGCCCCTGAGTTCAGCCCGTTTTCCCAGCATCAGGCCTCCTGCTCTGTGTTAGGTGACCGCGTTCAGTGGTTGACCCCAGGGGCGCCGGAGCCTTGGGTGCATTGCTGGGGAGGCTGCCCTCAGCTGTCCTCTGGGACCGACTGTCCCTCCCAGCGTTTTCAAGAAATAAAGAATAGTTGGGGCGCCTGGGTGGCTCAGTCGGTTAAGCATCTGACTTCGGCTCAGCTCAGGATCTCCTGGTTCATGAGTTCGAGCCCCACGTCGGGCTCTGTGCTGACCCTCAGAGCCTGGAGCCTGCTTCGGATTCCGTGTCTCCCTCTCTCTCTGCCCCTCCCCTGCTCGTACTCAGTCTCTCTCAAAAATAAATAAAATTATTTTTAAAAAATTTTAAAAAAAGAAGTAAAGAATAGTTGTGACTTACCTTTTTCTTGTCTCCTTGATTTTTATCAGGATGGTTTGCGAAGACTATCCGGGAATGAATATGTTCTTTCAACAAAAAGTAAGTTTTAACTTTTTAATCTTCTGGATCACTGTTAATATCGTAGTAGCACTTAAATGATGAAAATAAGTTTTTTTTTGTTAATTTATTTTGAGAGAGCACGTGCAAGCAGGGGGAGGGGCAGGGAAAGAGAATCCCAAGCAGGCTCCGAGCTGTCAGCACAGAGCCCCATGTGGGCTCGATCTCACAAACCGTGAGATCGTGACCCGAGCCAAAACCAAGAGTCGGAGGTTTAACCAACTGAGCCACTCAGGCACTGCTCCGTTGACCTTTCTCAGCAGTAAGATGTTTCGTGGTCGGTCATAAAACATCCGACACACAGCAGCTGTCCCTGGAAGCAGCACTGTCCCCGCTACGGAGCAGTTAACATGGAAAAGCCTGCTAATCTTGTTCCCCAAATCACATCGCTTTGCAGGCCTGCAGCAGGTGCCCGGCAGTGTTGTCACCCCCATCTCCCTTCACGACGTCCCTCCCCGGATAGCTCGGGCTATGGAAAATGAAGAGTACTGGGACTTTGATATTTTTGAACTGGAGGCCGCCACACATAAAAGGTGCGTCCACGGGGAGCCCCGCAGGCAGACAGCCCGGTCCCGAGGGCATCTGCAGACAAAGCCCTCCAAGGAGCCGGGGTTCTGCCAGAGGCAGGTCCTGGTCAGGGAGGGGGGGCTCCAGGGGAGGACCACGGCCCCAGAGGGGTCAGGGAGGGCCGGCCGACTCATCACAACTCCCGCAGAGACCGCCCACTCGTGGCCCATGTGAAGTTGAACAAGGGACGTAACGTCTCTGAGTGGCAGGGGTTTTTCCTGGAAAATACGGACGTGCCTTCTGTAGGTGGTGGTACGTTGAGGGAGCAGCAAGAGCCCCACTCAGAACCTAGAACTAAGAATTAGAAACACACATTCTCCAAGAATTGTCCCCACATCGTGGTCGCCATGTTGGTGTCAGGCATGGGGACCCCCTGAACTCTAGTCGTCCTGATCTGGGCACGCACACACAGAGTGGGGACAGCACTGGGATTTTACCTTGAGTTTTGGCCCTTGAGGGAAGCACAGAGTTGGCTAGAGCACTGTGGCTGACTGGGCACCCTGGGAAGGGCCGTCTGCATTTCCAGCCAAGGCTGCGCTTTGCGGGGGTGAGGCCGGAGGGACCTGCGTGTATTCTGTGGGCCCATGGGATGGCTAACTCCTCAGGTCCCCTCCAGTCTGGGTGAACTGTCCTCACACGGCCTCTACCCTCCGATCATGCCCACCAGGAGTCAGCCTTCCACTACATTCTCTTCCCATGCACCCCACATGGGCAGGGGCCATAGAAAGAATACTCTAGCAAACGAATCTTTGAGCACCTGGCTTACGTGCTAGTGACGCTGCATTCATGTGAATCAGGCCAAGGTGGGCCGGTTCAAGCCCTGGGAGTGTGGTGACCTCCAGATGCCACCTCAGCAGAGCCATTTCTTGCCCTTCCAAGCCCAAGGCCAGATGCTGGATTGAGGTAACTTCTCAAGGAAGGGCCTGAATCGGTGGCCAGTTGGTCACCTTCTCAGGAGAAACCGCGTCCTGCTGCGGCACCCACCTTCAGATTGTTGAGGCTGTTACGTGACAGGTGACAGTATCTGGGCCACAGGCAGCCTTCAAGAAGTGTTCTTTGCTTCTAGACAGGACATCTGGCCAATAACACAGGTCTAGCAAGTCCGAAGGCGAGGACAGGGTTCAAGCCTGGCATCACGTGCATTTTGAGGAATCTACTGGTGCACGTAGGAGTCACCGAAGGCGGAAGGGCAGGGCCGGCCAAGCCAGTGGGGAGCCCTGACCCAGAGCTCCAGCCAAAGTTGGTGTCAGCCGCCGGGGCCCCGGAGACGCGGACGCCGCTCGGGCAGCCGCCCTGCCCCGCACGCTCGCTGAAGCCGGGCTCGGGTCGGCCGGTCGGGTCTGAGCCTCTTTGGGGCTCCACACGCTTTGCCTGTTTCTTTGTTTTAATGCTGTGGACGTTTTTCTCTGTAGGCCTTTGATCTATCTTGGTCTCAAAATGTTTGCGCGCTTTGGAATCTGTGAATTCTTGAACTGCTCTGAGGCGACGCTGAGATCGTGGCTGCAAATTATTGAAGCCAATTACCATTCTTGTAACCCCTACCACAATTCCACACACTCTGCCGACGTGCTTCATGCCACTGCCTATTTCCTCTGCAAAGAGAGGATAAAGGTGAGCTGTGTTTGTGCTCAGCGGGCAGGGCCACGGGACGGTGCGCCGCCTCGGCCAAGTTGCCGTGCAGGATGACTGCTGGAGCGGTCCTCGCCTGCACGCCGCCCGGCCGGGAAGCTCTGTGGATTCGATATGTTCATTCAGGATGCCTCATAATACCCTGCTGCCCTCCTAGCGAGGGCCCGTCCTTTCTTGTCTACGCGGCGCCCGGCGAGAGCTCCCGAGCCCCTGCCTCCCGTGGCTCCCTCGCACCGCTACCAGCGCAGGCTTTCCCAGACAGCACATCTGACCGTGTTGTTCCCGGGAGCGGCCTCCCACCCGCCTCCCACATACTGTAAAACCCCACAGTATGATGTTCACAGCTTCCTGACACACGGGCCACGTGTGAGACACGCTGAACCACCGTACTTTCTGACACACCTGCCCTCGACATGCTGTTCCCTTTGTTGGTCCCGCGTGTCCCCCACCTGTCCTTCAGGGATCCACACCAGCCTTTGTTCCTCCAGGAAGTCTTGCCTAGACCACCCTCCATCCCCAGTACTGACTTAGATGCCCTCTTCCATGTGCCCGCTCCTCTTGGGCACATTCCTGATCTTACCGGTCCGTCCACTCCATGTGGCTGGCAAGTTCCTTTCGTATCCCCAGGGCCCGTCCTGCTCAGCTGAGTCTCCGCAGTGGCCACTGGCACCTGCCGGTGGCCAGTCGCAGCTGGCTCAGTCTGCCTGGGCCCGGGCCAGCGGCTTTATTTAGCTCTAGCTTCGAGGCAGCAGAGGGGAGGGGGGTGAGAAGACTGTAGCCCAGAGAGCAGGGAGGGGGGGGAAGGTTCCACTCGAGGAACGTGACTCACCGGCCACTCCCAAACCAAGCTTCCTGAGAAAGCTTTTCATGTTGGAAATCACTTCATTAGGGAGACTGTCTAAGCAGCAACTAGACATGAGCTGATTCATCACATTTTGTGTTCCTTCAGTGTCCGTCATAGCACGGCCCAGAGGGTCCAGGGACTTCCCGTGGCCTTGCCATTTATTTCACTTTTAGCAGAACCTAGAAAAAAAAAAAAAGTGGTTTGATCCTTCTGCTCTAAGAATTGGGCTATTTGAGGGGTGATACGGTATAGCCTCCTGTCCAGGTGTCCTGGTACCCGGGGATGGCCGTGTGGGGACCGGGGCATGGCAGGCTGGCGGGCAGAGCGAGGGCAGGTGCCTGCCAGTCCCATGTTGTTCTCCATGACAGGGGACTCGTGTGAGAGAGGACAGCGACATCAGACCAAGACTATAGGCAGAATTAAGAGTTCAGAGAGAGGACCGTTTTATATAAAAGTATGAAAACAAAGGCCAGGGTGGCGGAGAGGGGTGTCTGTGTGTGGTTCGGTGTATAAAGATAGCCTGATTTTTGCTTTGACTTACTGCCTTTGAACTACTCTATAGATAACATGCAAATACATATTTAGAAAGCTCAGTTCATTATAAATAGCATTGATTAAGATATAATCCATATATAATTCACCCACTTAAAGTTAAAAGTATTGAATTTCAATTGAAATAACTTTTCAAGACTGGTTAGACGTGCACCTTCCTTTCAAGTGTCTCTAGAATATTTCCAAAAATGAGCTGCTACCAGGACGTAGTGGATGTCTTAATAAACGTCAGAATTTCATATATTTTCTAACCTTTGCAGAACAAAACAATTTAATAACTAAAGGTTAGATTTAAAAATGTCAGCCACTACAGATGAGAAAATACTTTAAATCAGTTAAGGCCTACAGAATGAGAAGGGCCAGATGACAATCCAAAATGGTTTTTTGAAACAACCAAGAAAATTAAATTCTAGCCAAACAAATCGAGAAATGCAGAAAGTGCCAGACACTTCCACGCTAACTTGAAAGCCTTAAAGAGGAAAGGTTTTAAATCAGATCCTAGAAGCAGGAAGCCAGGAGGTCAGCACCATGGAAGAAGTACTGAATTTACCAATCGAATTCTTCCAAATCGGGCTCCCGACCCAAGACGGTCACTTGAGGTCTTTGTCCCTTCGAGGACTTTTTCTGTGTTGTGTCAACCTTTTCAGAGACTTGAAAATGAGGGAAAACCTCCAGATTATTGTACCAACCTCACCAAATCCTGACATCAGCCCGACAGAGATCGCACCAAAAGCGGGGGGGACACGCTAGACCAGCCCCTTAATGTGAGTGACACACATCGTAAGCTGTTTCTCTCAGGTAGTAATACTGGTTGCTGTTGGTTCAAGTCAGTGTCTCAGACATTTTTTGTGATGGGTCGAGAGACAGACTGGCTGAGGAGGTGACTCCTGTGTCGAGGACACCTCGTATTTTGGTAAGTCCTGAGCTTGTGCGAGACCGAGAATCAGATCGTGTGCCCTAAGGAACAAGTACGAACGTGAAACGGTTTCTGAGTAGAGCTAAGAAAACAGGATGTGCCCAACAACACGCTTTTCTCGGAAATCTGGCACCTTTTTACCTGAAAGTAGTGGGGCGGAAAGAAGACTCTACGGAAGGCTTCCCTGCTTTCTGCGCCATGCCCCGTTTTGAAAAGATCTCTTGTTTGCAGCAAACGTTAGATCCGGTTGACGAGGTCGCCGCCCTCATTGCAGCCACCATCCACGACGTGGACCACCCCGGGAGGACCAACTCCTTCCTGTGCAATGCCGGCAGCGAGCTGGCCATCCTGTACAACGACACTGCCGTGCTGGAGAGCCACCACGCGGCCCTGGCCTTCCAGCTGACCACCCGCGATGACAAATGCAATATCTTCAAAAACATGGAGAGGTGAGAGCACCGGGTCAGGGAGCGTGTCGGTCCCTCTAGCAACTTTGAGATGTGCGTCACATACTACAGAGTTCACCCATCTAAAGCGTACAAGAGTGGTCTGTATAGTCAGGGTCGCGTGGCCATCACCCCCCAGGAAGAAGCTCAAACTCACTGGCCGTCACTTCCCACCCCCCCCCCCCAGGTCCCCCAGCCCCAGGCAACCCCACTGATGCACGTTCTGCCTCCAGTTCTGCACGACTCATAACAAATAGTGCACCCAGGACGTGGTCTTTTGTGGCTGGTGGCTTTCAGCACGAGGCTTTCAAGGCTCAGCAGTTTTGTGTCTGACATCAAAGACGTCATCTCAAGATGGCAAGGATAGTGCTGACATCTTGAGCTTTTAGAGACTCCGAGACTCGGAGAAGCCGTCCTCTTCCATCTCTGCTCCAAACACTCCACTCCGCCCTCCTGTGCCCAGAACCCTCTCATCCTTGTCGGTGTTCACGTGTGACTCCTCAGTTCACGTGTGATTACTCAGTGCGAAGTTCCTTCACAGCACTCATCACGTGTTTAAATCATTTTTCATTACTTGTCTAATGTCTCATTTGCTTCTTAAGCTCCGTAAGATCACGGTGTTCAGTGCCTTTTGTCCATCGCTGGACCCTCGGTGCCTAGCGTGGGGCCTGGTACAGGGGAGGGACCTGTACTTTTTAACTTGGATTTTTAAAGAATGTTTCATAGATTTTGTAAAAAGGAGATTCCGGATTTTACACAACTCCCTTTTGCCACGTTCTAGAATTTCAGTAGGTTTTATTCATCGTTGCTGGTACATACATCAGCTATCTCTGGAAAAATATGCAAGACCTGATAACTTGGGTTGTGTCCAGGGAAAGGAATGGGGTGAGTGGAGGAAAGAGGTGAACGAGAGATAAAAACCAGGGCTGGAGTGAGTTGCTCAGCTGTCAGACCTCCCCTCTAAGTGTCCGGGCACTGAAATTGGTGGATCTCAAGGTTCCTCTGTGGGGGGGGGGGGGGATACATTCTTCGTAGCCACAGATCTCTGCCTTCGTAAGCCCCTGCCATGTTCTCTTCTTCCCGGAGCTACGAGCCCAGCACTACAGAATGGTGAGCGCTTCGCCTGTAAGGCCTCGCCCATAAGTTCCCTGATTGTCACTTCAGTTTTCCCTCACTAACGATCTCGTTCCAACGTGTGCCCTGCGACTTCCAGGGACACGAGCGTTTTAGCTGCCACGGACACAGTTCCAGATCACAGCCGTATCAGGAGTGCCTGTCTGGTCCGGATGAATAATGCGTAGCGCCCTCTCATTTGTTGTCTGAAACAGGAATGACTATCGGACGCTGCGCCAGGGTATTATCGATATGGTCTTGGCCACGGAAATGACAAAACACTTCGAGCACGTCAACAAATTTGTCAACAGCATCAACAAGCCCCTGGCGGCACTAGAAGAAAACGAGGTAAGGGAAACCGACTGCAAGGAGAACCTGGATGGGGGACCGGGGGCCCTTACCCCTCTGTGCTGTGGGGAACTGGGGTAAGAGGCAGGGAGCCGTGCAGGGGCTCCCCTAGCAGGTTCACTGGGTTTAATATCTATCGGTTGGAAAATTATGTAAAAACTTGGCAGGAAAAAAGACCTCCAAAAAGAGATACGGAAACTCTGAAGCTAACATTAGGTGGGTGGACCATTCCTGTGCCCTTTCTCACACGCATCCCCTTCCCCACTCCTTGGGCATCCTGGGGTCCGTCGGAGCCCTTGACGGGTCTCATTTCCCACCCCCACTGTGCACATGCTGTCACATCAGCGACTCTCCTCTGTTGGTCTCGGTCACAGGACAGTAGAGGCTGAGAAGGACCCTGTATTTTGGTCCTAAGGGTGACATTGTTGTCCCCCCCCCCCCCCCCATTTCTGGATTTGAGGCCTGGAGTTGCCACAACAACTGCCTGGCAAGGACGACACTAAGCCTCTGGCCAGGCGGGGGACCACAGCTACGGAAGCAGACAGATCTGGGTCCCCATCCAAGTTCTTCTTCGCCTTCCCGGGCTGTACAATGGGCATAATCTCGAGACATAGGACTAAGGGGCAGGGGACAAGGTAGGCACTTAATGGGACCTATTCTACTAGATTCAGCCTGAGATCAGCATCTATCGCGTCTACTTTCACGAACCCTTTTCCTTCGAGGCCCTTCTACCTGCTCCACACACTGAACATCTTGGCACCGGCTCACTGACTCCTCTGCTGCCTTCCTTGCCCGCTCCTGTCACCATCCTCAGAGCCTTCTCCGTGCTCGGGATGGTGTCCCAGGAGGCCAGGATCACTGTTCCTTGAGTTCTAACCCCACTTCACCTCTGCAAGTCCTCTGACCGTGGCTTTTGGCTTTCTAACTCATTACCCTTCACCCCAGTTCCTGTGTGACCCCCTCTGAAACCTATGACAACTCTGCCCCCTTCCTCCTCTCCTGTTCTCCCAGTTCGTCAGCCTGCTTCTGACTTCCCTTCCCTTCCAGGGACTCCAGCGCAGGGGCACCCGCACCAACCTTTTTTAGTGGCTCCACCTGTCCTGGATAGTGTGTCACCTGGGCCACTGCCCCTGGCTGACTTCGGCCACAGACTCGTTTCCTCCAGAGAGTCTGGGCAGTTCCGAGACCTAGCTGAGTGTTCTGTTCCACTCAAAAGTCGCGTTTCTCCTCTGTCCGTACTTGGGGTTATTTCCGAGAGATGAGAAGTCCATCTAGTGAGCCAGAGCAGGGACGGAGTAATACGAGAGCAAATGCCGTACGGCTGGCGGGACCAAATGTAGTCACACGGCTGAAGAGAGGAGCCAGCACGGAGCCCTTGGGACACGGGGCAAGGAGACCCGTCGAGGCAGCCTTGGTGGTGTCCACTCTGGCAGCTGTCCAGGGGAGGAGGCAGCCCAAGCTCTGGGCGGGCACGCGCCCATCTTGATGGCATGCCTGTCCTCACCGCGATGAGACCATCAGGCCTTTTTCGACTACTGTGATTACTCGTGGAAATCACATGATCGACGCCTTTGGAAAGCATGAGGAGACTGGCTTGTCTCTGACCGTGCTCTTTGCCCCGGTCCTCCCTCTTCCAGCCGGGGCCCATTATACCAACGGTTCAGAATCCATAGCAGACCAGACGGCATGTAGCACCTCGAACAGACAGAGCCCAGGACTAAAGTTCCACCTTCAGTTCTTATCCTGGCTCAGCTGGATAGCCGCGGACAAATCTCTTCGCCTCTCTGGGTCCCGGTGCCCTCGTCTATAAAGTAATACTGCTTTTCGTGCCTACCCCAGATCTTTTCGTGAGTGCACATCAAAAGAGAGTAACTGTTACAGGAGTATCGCTCTATCTGACACCATCTTGGTGCATTGATGGCTAATTCCCAAGATTACACCTGCCATGGGACTGGGGTAGGGGCTGGGTTGTACGAAGCAGGGAGCCTGGTGCCCCGCAAGATTCCTTTTGGTGAAAGGGCAGAGAAACCGTTATGTTTAGAGTTCGCGTTCTTTTTCGGTAGGTGTCATAAAAGATACCGCTCATGTCCCAAGGGGGAGCAGTAGAACAAAGAAACAGCAACTGTGAGAAATACCTAGAATGGGAAGAAGCAAAGAGCCAAGAAAGGGAAGGGCACAGAGACTGACCTCCAGCGCTACCCTCTACTCTCGGGTCCCGCTCGGATCTCACTGGACCTTGCTTTCCCTTTCTGTCGAGGGAGGGGCTGACCTCCACGCTCAGGGTGTCCTCAGCACTGTTCTGTGAAGCCGTCACGGATAGGCCCGGGCATACCGTGGGGCCCCACCTGTGAGACACAGCTTGGCCCCAGGGAGCCCACTTGGATTGCTCTGAATCTCACTTGTGTTTTAGGAAACGAATAAAGACGAAGAAGCCATAAACACTATGCTCCGGACTCCAGAGAACCGGACTCTGATTAAACGGATGCTCATCAAGTGTGCGGACGTGTCCAATCCCTGCCGACCGCTGGAGCAGTGCATCGAGTGGGCCGCACGCATATCAGAAGAATATTTTTCTCAGGTGAGATGCAGCCTCTTCACTTCCTTGAGAGAGAGAAACACAGACCATTAGAGATCGGGGGATTAAAACTAGGACGTAGAGTTCTAAGTGAAATTCTGTCCTTGAAGAACACTTCTTGTATCATAGGCTCACTGCTAAGGGATTTGATTAGTTTTCCCTCATCTGAAAATGTATTGGCTGCCTTTCTTGCAGAATATCTCCACTGGATGTAGATTCCGGTGTTAACAGTTTTCTCCTAACAGCATTTTACACCGTTGTCTGCCCCTCGTGTTCTGGCTGCGTAGGAAAAATCCTTGTGGGGCAGGAAAAAGAAATTGGAAAATACAGTGGCTAAAGGTTTAGCAAGTTTACTGAAAGCATATACACATAGATTCAAGAAACACAAACCTTAATCCAAGCCCACAGTCCAGCGGCTCCAAGCCTTTGAAGTCAGCCAGAGAAAAATGGCCCGTTTCGTGTAAGAGACCAGTGATGCTCACTCCTTCTGACTCCGTGTCGGAAACTATGAAGGTGAGAGAAGACGGATTTCTGGGGGAGACGGGGGAGTAGGAGGACCCGGGGCCCACCTCGTCCAACACCCACAGCAGGGTCAAGGACCCAGAAAATGACCCGAGCACTGGCAGAAGAGACTCTCCACAACTGAATGTAGAGAAGGGGCCACATCCAAGGGGACAGGAAGGGCAGAGACACTGTGAGGAGCCACGCTGACCTGCACGAGGGAGGGACACCACGGGCAGGGAGAGGGGGAGACCCACGGCGAGAAGACGAGTCCCCCTGACATTTGGCTTTGAAACCAGAGGTTTCACTTCTCAAGTCCTGGCTCTGAGACGGGCAGACCGCCATCAGAAACTGAACCCCTGACCTGACAGAAACAGTGAAAGAAACAGCCCCGTTGAGGTCCAGCATAGACACAGCAGTTTGAAGAGTGCCTGGGGTTTGTTTACTAGTCTCAGAACCCGTGCTGGACGGGCAGGGGTCTTTGGAAAACTCCGAAAACAAAAGAGCTGGCGGGCACCGTTTTCTTGCCCTGCCCCTCAGCCTAGATACACCAGACGCCGGTGAGAACCAGCTCGGTGGGAACACTCTCCACCCCCAACCCTGCGTGCTGCAGATGCACCCCCTCCAACCCAGCCTCACTGGTTTTCCAGAGTGGCTCCAGGTCCCCTCCTACAGCAGACCAGGCACAAACCTTGCTGACACCGTGCACCTGGCCTCTGTGTTCTGCACACCTGCCCCCGCCCCCAACAACTCGCCTTCAGCGGGAGCCCGTCGAGAGCGGCACCGTGAACGTGGCAGTGTGCAAGCAGCCTGGAGGGGGGGCAGCACCGCCTCCAAGTGACTCCCTCAAAGGGACTCCTGCCCCAGGGGGAGGAGGAAAAAACCACACATTCCTGTTCAACCGTGGCCCCAGCAGTGGTCTGACCCAACTCGAGTCGGAGGCAACTCCAGACAGGCCCACCAACAACACGGGGACCGGACCCTGCCCACAACAGGCAGAGAGCCATTGCAGATGACTGGACTGGTGGCAAATGCGGCATAGCCACACACACACAGGAGACACCCTCCGGCGCCAGGTCCCGGGGAACAGGGGACAGGCACCACAGGACCTCATCTTCATGAGGCCACTCCTTTTGAGAGCAGGAGGCGTAGCGGAATTTCCAAACACAGAGAGCTAGACAACACAAGACAGGAGCGTGTCCCAAATGAAAGAACAGGACAAAATCACAGCAAGAGATGTCACACAGATACTCTGCCTGATAGAGAATTCAAAGTAGCGGGAATAAAGACGCTCACTGGACTTGAGAGTGGAGGACCTCGGGGAGACCCTCAACAAAGAAATAGAAAACAACCAATCGGAGGTAACTCAATAACCGAAATTAAAAATACACTAGATAGAGTAAACAGAGGAAGCAGAAGAACAGATCAGCAACCTGGAGGACAGAGGAATGGAAAGCAATCAAGCCGAACAAGAGAAAGAAAAAAAAGACTCATAAAAATGAGAATAGATTAAGGGAACTCAGCAACGCCAGCAAACGTAGTAACATTTGCATTATAGGGACCCCAGGAGGAGGAGAGAGAAAGGGGGGCAGAAAATGTATCTGAAGAAATAGCCGGAGACTTCTCAAATCTGGCGAAGGAAACAAAAACCCAGATCCACGAGGCTCAGAGAACCTGCAGCAGAATCAACCCAAGGAGGCCCACACCAAGACACGTAGTAATTAAAATGTCGAAAAGTAGTGATAAGACCATTTTTAAAGCAGCACAAGGAAACAGTTACATACAGGGGGAAAAAAACCCTGAAGGCTACCAGCTGATTTTTCAGCAGAAACGTTGCAAATCAGAAGAGGGTGGCATGATATATTCACAGAAAGAAAAAAAAAAAAAACCCTGCACCGTAGAATACTCTATCCAGCAAATCAATCATTCAGAATAGGAGAGATAAGGACTTACTCAGACACACAAAGGAATTCATCACCACTAAAGCAGCCTTACAAGGAATGTTAAAGGGGACTCTGAGTGGAAAGGAAGGACCATAAAGCAAGAGTAAGCTCTGTAGGAAGCACAAAAGCAGTATGTTAAGTATATCTATAAAGATCGGTCGATGGATTCACAAAATAAAAGGGTGTGAAGTATGACACCATATACCTAAGATGTGGGGGAGAGAGGAATAAAAATGTAGTGCTTTTTGAATGGGTTCAAACTGAAGCAACCATCAACTTAATATAGACGGCTATATGCATAAGGTGTTATATGTAACCTAATGGTAACCACAAATCAAAAACTGGTAATAGATATGCAAAAAATAAAGAGAAAGGCATCCAAGTGTATCAGTAAAGAAAGCCGGCGGGGCGCCTGGGTGGCTCAGTCGGTTAAGCGTCCGACTTGGCTCAGGTCACGATCTGAAGGTCTGTGAGTTCGAGCCCCGCGTCGGGCTCTGGGCTGATGGCTCAGAGCCTGGAGCCTGCTTCTGATTCTGTGTCTCCCTCTCTCTCTGCCCCTCCCCCGTTCATGCTCTGTCTCTCTCTGTCCCAAAAATAAATAAACGTTAAAAAAAAAAAAAAAGCCAGCAAACCATAAGTGAGCAAGCAAAGAAACAGAGAAAACCACAAAAACAACCATAAAATAAGTAACAAAATGGCAATAAGTACACACCTGCTAATAATTACTTTGAATGTAAATGGACTAAATGCTCCAATCAAAAGACATGGGATGAAAAGTCAAGGCCCATCTATATGCTGTCTACAAGAGACACATATCATGCAAATGGAAGTGAAAAGAAAACCAGGGTAGCAATACTTATATCAGACAAAATAGGCTTTAAAATAAAGATTGTAGGCGTGCCTGGAGGGCTCAGTCAGTTAAGCACCCAACTTGGGCTCAGATCATGATCTTGAAGTTTGTGGGTTCAAGCCCCACATCAGACACTGCACTGATAACACAGAGCCCGCTTCGGATCCTCTGTCTCCCTCTCTCTCTTCCCCTCCCTCTCTATCAAAAATAAACATTAAAAAAATTAAAGATCATAACAAGAAACAAAGAAGGACACTACATAGTCTGAAGGGGAACAATCCAACAAGAAAATAAAATAATTGTAAATATTTATGCATCCAACATGGGAGCACATAAAGCAGCTGATAACAAACATAAAGGAAGAAATCAACAGTGACACAGTAATAGTAGGGGACTTTAACTGGAACTTACATCAATAGACAGACATCAACAAGGAAACCATGGCTGATTGACACATTTGACCAGATGGTCCTAACAGACTTACTCAGAACATTCCATCCTAAAACAATACACATTCTTTTCAAGTGCATATGGAACATTCTCCAGAATAGATCACATATTGGGCCACAAAACTAGTCTCCACGAACTCAAAAAGATCAAAGCTGTTCTGACCACAATGCTATGACACTAGAAATCAACCACAGGAGAAAATCTGGAAAGAGCACAAATACATGGCAGTTAAATATACTACTAAACAGTGAATGGGTCAACCAAAAAAATGAAAGAGGAAATCAAAACACCCATGGAAACAAATGAAAAACACAGTGGTTCAAAGTCTTTAAGGTGCAGCAAAAACTGTTCAAAGAGGGAAGTTTATAGCAATACAGGCCTACCTCAAGAAACAAAAATTTCACACAACCTAACCTTACACATAAAGGGGCTAGAGAAGGAACAGCAAACAAAGCCCCAAGACAGTAGAAGGAAGGAAATAATAGATTGGAGCAGAAATAAATGAAATAGAAACTAAAAAGCAATAGAACTCATCAATGAAACCAGGAGTTACTGATTTGATAAGATCGACAAAATTGATATACCTTTAGCCAAATGCCTCAGAAAGAAAAAAATGTTTTTTTCAAATAAAATCAGAAATGAAAGAGGAGATGGGGGGGGGGGCAGGGAGGGGCGCCTGGTGGGTCAGTCGGTTAGGTATCCAACTTCAGCTCACCTGTGGTCTCACAGTTAGTGGGTTTGAGCCCCATGTTGGGCCCTGTGCTAACGGCTCAGAACCTGGAGCCTGCTTCAGATTCTGTGTGTTTCCCTCTCTCTGCCCCCCACCTTGCGCTCTGTCTCTCTCAAAAATAAACATTAAAAAAATCATTTTTAATGAAAGAGGAGATAGCCAACAACATAGAAATACAAAGCATATAAGAGAATATGGAAAATTATATGCCAAAAAATTGGACAACTTAGAAGAAGTGGATAAATTCCTGGAAACGTCACCTACCAAAACTGAACCAGAAGAAATAGAAAATTTGAACAGTGATTACCAGCATTAAAATTGAATCAGTAATCAAAAAATTCCAAACAAACAAAAGTCCAGGACCAGAGAGCTTCACAGGTGAATTCTACCAAATATTTCAAGAACGGTGAATACCTGTTCTTTTCATACTATTCCAAAAACAGAAGAGGAAGGAAAGCTTCCAAATTGATTCTATGAGGCCAGCATTACCCTGATACCAAAACTAGATAAAGATACAAAAAGATACAAA